TCTCTCTCTCATGTGTATGTGTATGTGTGTGTTTGTGTGTGTGTGTGCTGTGTTGTGCGTGTTTTGTGTGTGTGTATGTGTGTGTGTGTGTGTGTTGTGTGTTGTAAGCGTGTTTTTGTGTGTGTGTGTACACGTGTCTGGGTGTCTAATTTGAGGAGGACACAGGAAAGGGTTAATATTGGGTATCTTCTTCTACAGCTCTTCTCCTTATTTTTTGAGACAGGGTCTCTCACAGACCTGTAGCTCTACAATTGGCCAGACTAATTGTCCAGCAATCCTCAGAGTCCCTCCTGAATCTGCGTCCTCCGCACTGGGATCCTACATGCTGGCAGGCTCAACTCTTTTTCTTTTAAACATCTGTTCAGGAGGGTCACTTTAGGTCACCATGCTCAGCAAGCAAGGACTTTATTGACTAAGACATCTCTCCAGCCTTAAAGATGCTTTTTAAAATAGGTCAAATAGTAGCTTGAAATAATGACTGTGGAGGGTATTTGGCTATGTGGAGGCCACTGGCAAGTCTTGATGGAAATAGTTATCTCATAGAAACAGTAAGTAGAGTGTTTATACATCATCAGGAGAATTAAGCCAGTGTGAATTTCACAGAGCAGACCATTCATTGATGAGCTTGAAAGTGGGAGGAGCTGAAGGTGCTGTCCAAATAGAGAATGCTTTCTTCACCTGACACTCAGTTCTGCTCTTTAACCAGCCCACTGTTTGAATCAAACTCATTCAGGCTATGGTGTGTTATCTCCTTTATTTAAAAATCACTTGATTACAGGGCTGCAGAGCTTGCTCAGAGGCAAACAGTACTGGCTGCTCTTCCAGAGGATTAGGGTTCAATTCTCAGTGCGCACACAGCAGCTCACAACTGATCCAATGCCCTGCTCTGACTTCTTTGAGCATGGCATTTGTGTGGTACATAGACACACATGGAGGTAGAACATCCATACACATAAAATTAAAAGTAAAAACAAATAAATAAAATCAACTGGTTACAGACCTAACCTATACAACATCTCAGCAACTCTTGGAACAGTATGTGGCTGTATACCTTGGGGCTAGAGCCCTGCCAAGTTGACCCATCCAGCTAACCCTCAGTTGTCTAAAGACTTTGGTGAAGTTCTATGCAAATAGAGGCAGGGAGAAAAAGCAATAACTAAGGACAAATTTTAGAAAAAGCATTGTATAGAAAGAAGATTATTAAAAGGAGAGGGAGGTCCTAAACAGGGCCACAGGGTCTTTGGTTAGGGTTGTTTGGTGGCATATATGGCAGGGTTTTATGTTAATGGAAACAGTCCAGGGACAAATGGGGATACAGTGATGGTGGAAGGCTGTGCCTGTGGTGTCTATTCTCAGTTGTCAACTTGACATGCCCGAAAAGAATGTCCTCCATAAAATCTGCCTGTGCACACATTCATGGGGCATTCTCTTAATGGCTAATTCATGAAAGAGGACTCCCCCCACTGTGGGCAGTGCCATTCTTAGGCAGTTGGGTGTGGACTGTATAAGAATAAAGGTGGCGATGAGCTGGGGAGTTACCCAGTAAGCGTAATTCCTCCATTGATTCCGCTTCAGGTTCTACCTCCAGGTTCTTGCCTTGAGCTCCTGCTCTGGTTTTCCTCCATCATGTACTATAAATCAAATAAACCCTTCTTACCCCAGGTTGCTTTGGTCAGTGTTTTAGCATATCAACAGAGGAACAAACTAGAACAGACTTTATCCAGAAGCCATGGTGAGGGCTTGGGTTTTCATACAGAGAGACATATGTGTAGGACCATGGGAATTCAATGCCAGCTACTAGTATAAAACTAGGAAGCTCATTCTGTCTTGAATAGCTTCCCAAGGTGGCTAACACCCCATTGATGGCCAGTTTTACTGGATGAACTCCATCATTTTAGATAATTCACCAGATATAGGGGAGTCTGCAGTGGAGGGGGCAGGCCTGGGTTCCTACAAAGTCAGGAGTATCTTAGATTGAACCAGAGTCGGGTTTAACAGATCTGTGGGTACATTTGTACTTCAGAAAAAAAGTACATGTTTTCTTGGGAGGATATACTTCGTTGGCATAGATTATGAATGAGTCCATCACTGGAGAAAACTAAAATGTTGCTCAAGGATACCTTCCAACCTGGTAGCTTATTGGCTGTGGAGCTAGCTCCGTAGGTAGCATTTGTCTTACAAACACAAGGGCATTAGTTGGATCCCCAGGCTTTGTGGGAGAAGGCTGGGCTGCTGGTATGTGCCCAGTGCTGGGAAAGGAGAGACAAGCAGAGGCCTGGGTTCACTGACTGGCCAGCCTGCCCTACTAGTCAAGCCCCAGGAGAGATAATATGTGCTTACAGGTCCAGCCTTCGGGAGGGAGAGACTATGATCCCTAGGGTACACTGGCCTGTCAAGCCCCAGGCCAGCGACAGGTCTTGTCTCAAAAAAATAAGGTGAGCAATAACTGTGGGAGGACAGCTGATGTTGACCTCTGGCCTCTACACACATGCCCATACATGTACTGGCAATCCTGTACAGACACATGCACCAACACACACATACACATATACACTTAAAGTAACACCTATATCTAAGTGAAACCATGATCCTTTGGGGTGGGCATACAGGGTAAGTGGATGAAAGGTATAATAAAAAAAAAAGTCATTCTTAGGAAAAAATTAAAGTATTTGAAAGACTGATAAAAATCACTAGTCTAGGGCTAGCAATGACTTCTTAGTGAGTAAGCATACTTGCTGCCAACCCTTATAACCTGAGCTCAATCCTCAGGATCCACATGGTAAAATGAGAGAACAGACTCTCAATAGTTGTTCTCTGACCTCCACATGCACACTGTGATGTCATGTATGTGTGTGGACATGTACACACACACACACACACACACACACACACACACACATACACACACACACACTCTAAAATGTAATTGAAATTATTAGACCCAAAGAGGTCACTGTATAAATAGCATAAATAAACTTTTTCAAATATTTTTTCATCATGAAGTTTCTTACCAAATAAGTAAGCAAATACCAACAACAACAGCCACAGACTCTTCCCAGAAGTGATAAAAGGTCCTCACTAAGATACGAGGTATGGAAGAAATTAAAGGCCCTAGACTGCAGGTGGCAAGGTCCTTCCTTGACTAGACTGTCAATGCATCGCTCATAAATCATACTCTTTCTCAAAGTGCGTGTTCACGGTAAATACAGTCATTTCTCCAAAAAATCCTCACAGGGCTTCATTTTTTGACAGATATACCTTAACTTACAGTTTACCCGAGGAGCCATTAACATTCTAGTTTTTGTATTTTCACTCCCCAAAATCTTAATTCAGTGCTTAAGACATTGGGGAAGCAAATGTGTTTTCATGGAGCACTTCAAATGCTTCTGAGACAAGTGCTGTTTTGACCTGGTTTTGATAAACAGCACTAGTGTGCCATACGTGAGCTCCTTCCATGACCCAACCCAGTAATTCACTGAACTGTTGTGATAGTTTTAATTGCCTACATGACAGCAAGGAGTCACCTATGAAGAGAACTTCAGTCAGGGAGTGTTTAGATTTGGTGGCGTGTGGCCATGTCCGGGGAGAATTATCTTGATTATGTGAGGACACACCCACTCTGGGTGGCTCCACTGCCCGAGCAGGGTACCCCTACATTTCTGAGAGTGATGGAACAAGCTGAGCCTAGCATGTGGCCTGCATTCTTTGCTCTGCTCTTAACTGTCAGTGTGATGTGACTAACCTCTTCAGCTTTCTGCCGCCTTAACTGCCTGGCAATGATGGATTGTAACCGGCGACTGTGAGCCAAAATAATATCTCCTTTCCTTTTAAGCCGCTTTGTCGAGATATTTTATCTCATTAATAGGAAACAGAGCTAAGATAACAATGGTTTTAAAAAAGTGTGTTGATTGAGTCTCTTCACTACTTATGCATCATTGGATATTAATAGAGCAAATAATCACATGAATGCCACCGCTTAAAAGAAGAAAATCAATTTATAATGACACAGTTCACATGTTCAGCATCATGCTTACAGGAGAGAATTAGGATAGCAGCATTCTCCCATGACTCCTTCCTTCTATAACTCTCTTCAGTTCTTTTCATGTCACAGCCTCCTTCTGCTTACAACGGATCCCTACCTCAAATTCACTATCAACACCTCTCAGGATAACACATGGATACTGTGATTGCAGAAGAAGAGACCTGCATGAGTTACCTAGGGTGGAAATTTCCTTTTGTTCTAAAATGCAAAGAAAGAGAGCAGACTCCTTTCATGTTTCTAGGGTAGAGTAAGAGCTTCTCAGTACATCACCACACTTTTGGGGAAAAGCTGAGCATAGCTATTTCTGGTTGCAAATGGCAAATGGTTACTCAAGTCCCAAGAGTTCTTACTTTGAACTTTTGTTGAGGCTTTATTGCATTTTTCCCTCACCCTATAAAGCCCTGTAGAGTACAAGAACATTTCTACTTCTCAGCTGATGTACACATATTTATATACGTGTGTGTGTGAGTGTGTGTGTGTGTGTGTGTGTGTATTATTTAAAGTCTAGAATAAAATGAGATAACTGCAGACTGGGGAAATAGCTGTGCTTTGAAAGTGCTTGCCTGGCAAGGATGAAGATCTGAATTCCATTCCTAGAGCCCACATCAAGCTGGAGGTGAGGGTGTGCACATTAGGAATCCCAGCAGCAAGGAAATGGGGATGACAAACCTCGGTGAGTGACTGGTACGCTAGCATAGGCTCAGGTGGAAGTTCCATACCAAGTGAAAAATACTAGGTCAGATGATGGACTGTGTTCTTCAGGAACACTGGAGATTTCTGTCTGCCCTGCTTTTGCACCCCCATACATGAACACACACACACACACACACACACACACACACACACACACACACACACACATGCATAGATTATAATTACCCATATGAATAATCGTGTATTGCATGGGCAATATCATTCACCCACTCAGCTGTGTGACTTTGAACATGTGGGTACTTACTGTAGGAGCATCCATAGACCTCCACTCTCATGCCAATCTTCCCACTCGGATTCCACTCCAATGGCACAAAGCGAACAAAGCGGGTTCTCACAGAGTGGAGCAGCTTGTGGTGCACCACACTGTCAGCATTCATGTTTCCTGCAAATGTCTGAAGAGAGAGGGCAACTCAGTGAGCTCTACAGTGCCAAGACATGTCAACATATGTATGCGTGCTTCTCCAATCAGACTTTTGGCAAAGGACCACAGCAAAAGCCCTCGTTTCTCTGACATTGATCTAATGTGGGTGACAGTCCTGCCACATGCATTACACTTTTTTCATTAGCACCAAATACTATATTTTATGATGTTCTTCTCCCTACCATCCATGCCTAGCTGCGTTTTCTGAATAAAGAAAACTGCAAGCTATGACAGATTTAAAGTTAACAACAGTGTATAGTTCTAGTTTCCCACACGTCCATACTATAAGATAACTGACAATTCCCTCCAGGAAGGAACAGGTTTTTTTCTGAAATAATTGTCAATGTTTTTTTTTTTTAGGCCATTTATTGCACCAAGCATGTAACATCCTCATTACTAAATAAATAAATGAATAAATAAACAAACAAACCTAGTGCAGGAAGGGAAGGACAAAAGGAAGTGAATCTTCAAATCACTCAGTTACTCAGTAGTTAGAAATTAGCCTGAGGTTCAGTTCCATGATGGTCCTATTCCAAGACTCTTGCTTACTTTTGTAGTACCCACGCTCTAACTACACGATCAGCAGGGTTTACAGGAAGGAACCATCACAGTCTAGGTATATATATGGTTCATTTTTTTCTGTTCATTTGTGATTGATGTTTATTTGACAAAAATCACACATGGTCTGAAGAAATGGTTCCATGCTTGCTGCTTAGCCCACTACCCAGGGCTAGTGTGGTCAGGGATCTCAGAGGAAATCATAAAATCACCACTTTACTAAACCAGAATAATCTCTGACTACATTCTAATATTTATCCTTATACACACAGGTAAGTGCAGTCCTCACCCCTCATCAAGGAAAGTTTTCCTTGAAACAGATAGAGAAAACATCACAGAAAACTACAACTGATCAAAATGCAGAGAAAAAGTAATTATATGATGTCCAGTCCCAACTGATGCATCCACAATACAACTCCTGCACCAAAGGCTGAGGGATCATCATGGAAGAGATGGAGGAAAGATTATTAAAAGCCAGAGGAACAGCAAGTTTCCTGTGAGATTGAGTCTCCTAGGTATGTCAGGGACGCTGCATCCATGAACTCTCAACCACAATGCTGCCTAAATAAGATCCAAGCAAGCCCAACACCAATAGACATGTTAACAGGAAAGGGGAAGTTCATGAGGCTTCAACCCTAGACAAAGAATTACAAGCAACTAAGGAATGCTGAAAGCAGAATAGTCTTCCCTCTTCTCTCTCTTTGACTGGACTCCTGGAGCTCTGCCTGGTGTTTGGCTGTGGATCTCTGCATCTGCTTCCATCAGTCATTGGATAAAAGCTCTGTGATGACAGTTAGGGTATTCACTGATCTGATCACCGGGGTAAGCCAGTTCAGCACAGGCATCCTCTCCACTAATTCTAGCAGTCCATGCTGGGGTCATCCTTGGGGACTCCTGGCAACTTCCTTAGCACCAGGTTTCTCTCTATCCCCATGATATCTCTCCCTAGCATGGTATCTCTTTCACTGCTTTCGACTTCATCCCTGTTCCATCTCAACCATTTCATTCCCTTATGTTCTCATCCCCACTTCCTACACTCCATTGCCGACCCCTCATCCCCAGTTTACTCATGGAGATCTCATCTATTTCCCCTTCCCAAGGCGGTCCATGCGTCCCTCTTTGGGTCTTCCTTGTTAGCTAGCTTCTCTGGAGTTGTGGGTTGTTTTCTGGTTATCCTTTGCTTTATATCTAGTATCCACTTATGAGTGGGTAGTGAATCAGAATCATGATGGGAAAACCTGCAGAGACAACCAAACCAAACTAGTGGGAACTCATGAAAGTTGGATCAATGGTTGTGGAGCCTGCATGGGACTGGACTAGGCCCTCTGTATGGTGAGACAATTGTGTACCTTGATTTGCTTGGGGGGCCCCCTGGCAGTAGGATCAGAATCCATCCTTGGTGCATGAGCAGGCTTTTTGGAGACCACTATCTAGGATGCGACTCCCCGTGCAGCCTTGAGGCAGGGGGGAAGAGCTTGGATTTGCCTCTACTGTATGTGCCTACCCATGGGAGACCTTGCCTTCTTGTGGGGGGAAGTGAGGGATGGGTTGGGAGGGGAGGGCTGGGGGTTCAGGGGGAGGGAAGAGGGGGACCTTTGATTGGTATGTAAAATGAATGAAAACAATTCTTTTTTTTTTTTTTAGCTCTTTTTTTTTTTATTAATTTATTTTGCAATACAATTCAGTTCTACATATCAGCCACGGATTCCCTTGTTCTCCCCCCTCCCGTCCCCCTCACCTTCCCCCCAACCCCCCCCCCCCCCATTCCCATCTCCTCCAGGGCAAAGCCTTCCCCACAGACTGAGGTCAACCTGGTAGACTCAGTCCAGGTAGGTCTAGTCCCCTCCTCCCAGGCCGAGCCAAACAATCCTGCGTAGGCCCCAGGTTTCAAACAGCCAACTCATGCAATGAGCACAAGATCTGGTCCCACTGCCTGGATGGAAAACAATTCTTAATAAAAAAAAGGAATAGTCTTCCCTTGGGAAGTGTTCCTCAACTGGTTATCCACTATCAAATGCTAAGCCCTAAAATCAGATATATATAGGTTCCTGAACATGTTTTATATGAACACACACATACACAAACACACACACACACACACACACACACACACACACACACACACACACACACAGAGAGAGAGAGAGAGAGAGAGAGAGAGAGAGAGAGAGAGAGAGAAAGAGAGAGAAATCACAGCACAAGTCCTGATTGTTCCACTTGCACTGTGTCTCATAGTCTTCATCAACAAAATTTATTATTTTAGAATTATGGGTTTTTTTCTGTAGATGGCATCCAAAGTCTTAAACCTCATCTTTAAAAAAAAAAACTGTGATCAAACATCTGAAAAAAAATCAGCATTTAAACCTTTTAAAGTCCATATCTCAGTATCAGTAAGTGAATTTATGGTGTGTACAACTCTTCCCATTGAGTTTGTCCACACTATTGTCTATGTCCCAGTGACAGGCTGTGAGCTGCCACTCAGAGGTGTGTGTGTTTCACTGGGTCATGATTGACCTTCTCAGCTTCAGTACTTTGTAGTCTGCCTGCTCATGTGCAGTGACAACAACCAATAGAGATCTGATTCCCCTCTAATGGCCAAAGTAAACGGTAGCTGGAGAGAATTCTCCAGCTACCGCCAAGTCCTGCCAGTCCCAGAGTCCACTTATAAAATAAACACACAGACTCTTACCTTATTTAAACTGCTTGGCCATTAGCTCAGGCCTATCATTGTCTAGCTCTTACTCTTATATTTAGCCCATTTCTATTAATCTATACTTTGCCACGTGGCTCGTGGCTTACCAGCATCTTTACATGCTGCTTGTCATGGTGGCGGCTGGCGTTGTCTCTCTCTGCCTTCCTGTTCTCTCAATTCTCCTGTTAGTCCCGCCTATACTTCCTGCCTGGCCACTGGCCAATCAGTGTTTTGTTTATTGACCAATCAGAGCAACACATTTGACATACAGACCATCCCACAGCAGTAAAAACCAAGAGAAAAGATTTGAGACACAGGGAGGAAGGCAGAGAGAGAGGGAAACAGACAGACAGAAAGAGAGAAAGACAGACAGACAGACAGACATAGACAGACAGAGAGAAAGAAAGGCAGACAAGCAGACAGACAGAGAGAAAGAAAGGCAGACAAGCAGACAGACAGACAGAGAGAAAAAGATTCCTAAAGGACACACTTGTGAAAATACCATTGTTTGAAAGTATATTGTGTATTCTAAAGAAGGGACATACTAATACCTGGAAGCCACATGCAAAGCCTTTGAAAACCAACATTTCTAAATGCCATCCAAAGGCCTGTCTCTCCAAGAGGGCAAACTAAAGGGAAGGAGATACTGGAAGCTTGGAGCTAATCCCAAAGGCATTTTCTTTTATTTGATAAGCTACCTTTAATAAGACATGAGGTAATTAACGTGCAAACCACAGAGTTAAAGCTGAAATGCATAAATCCACTCCAGCTTCCCAGTTCCCAACTGCTCTTCTGGGGTGTGTGATAAAGTGGATTTCCATCAGGCACTCAGATAATGGAAAAAAGAAGTTATAAGCAAGGCATTGGCCAATATTGGTGACTGAGGGGGATTGTAAAACATTATATTTTCGGAGATAAAAGGAAAATGAAAACATTGAATTCTCCTCTGAGTTCTAGCTTTTTTTTTTTTTATTAGTGATGAATGTCTATTTTGTCATTGTAAATGAACAGAAATGTAGCTGCTATTTTACAGGACAGTCTCTGATTTATGCTGAAAGGCTGCTGCTCCTCATTTGATGGCCCTGTAGGAACTTGGTTATATCTTTGTGGTTAGTGAGGGGAGATGTTTGATCCACGTTATACATCTCTGTTATGTAACGGTTTTCTCTGGGATTGAAACATTCCATTCTGAAGAAAGCTCCTTAAGCAGGAAGGTAAACAACTCAAAAATAACTTCAGGAGGTCCCCAAACTGACCAGAGTAGGTCAGTTCACTAGGCCCCTCTCTGCAGAGAAAGCTAATAACAGCAGAGCCAAGCTTCAAAGAAGACTCTCAAGACTAGACCAGCTGCCTGGAAGAAAGCAGGAACCAGGCAAGCTGCCTGAAGAGCTGTAGACCAACCCAGGAACCTGGAAAGGACGCTTTCAACCTGTTGAGCTTCCTGCAGGTTGTACAGTGGGCTCCAGCTTCCCAGCATTGAGAACTGTCACCCTCAGGGATGGGCCTTGATGATGCAGCTCTCTTTGAGTCATTTATGGCCCTGTAAATAGCCCCTCATCCATACCCCTGTAAGTAATCCCAATAAAACTCAATAGTTTACCAAGTTGAACTTGGATGGTATCCATACTTTTGTTTCTCATGGGTTCCTTATTTGGAGTAAGTAGACATGTTGCATCTCCCCAGGAAAATTTTGTCACACAACACCCTTCCCCATGGCATTC